AATGGATGGCAAATGAATTAAGCAAAATGCCTCTTGAGGGCATGAAGTGACAAAAACTTTCAAAATGTCTGCATTAAGGCCCATTGTAAATTCAGCCTGATCTTTCCTCAGAGCAGCAGCTGCACACTTTTAGTAAATCTGCCAAAAGATGCCACCTTATTGACCCGAAAGTACACAAAAAGCACACTCAGACGCTCCACAGGGTCCTGACATGCTCCATGCGATGACATTTTACCAATAGCTGCTACGGTTTTCAAACTATAGTTAGAAATGTACGAGGTTTATTTGTCATTCAGAACAATGGAAAGGCTCTCCTTTCACAGCACATCTCCATGGAAACCTTTGATCTCTGGGCTCACACACAGGTGTTTGATAACGTCGTCAGCTCAAACGCAAACATACAGAGTGGAGTTTAACAGACTGTCTCAGCCTATTTTTTTCTGGAGACTTCATACTGACTTCAACATGTTCCACATATTTTATACATTATTGGTGAAGTATGGTTTTAGTTCAAACGTTGGCAATTAAAATATTCTGACGCTTTTCAAAGCGTTTTTTACTTTATTTTCTCTTCTTAATACACATTCATTCACTACTACTTACATTTATTACTAACAAAGCACTTATATGCTAATAAAGGACTGGCTTATCTCAAATCTAAAGCCAGTTGAGTAGCACTTGAAATGTGTTAGCTCTATGAAACCTGATGTACTTATATGATTCTGTTTTCTTCAAGTTTGTATTTTGTTGGTCGAACGCACTTATTGTAAGTCGCTTTGGATAAAAGCGTAATGTAGTCGGCCAGAACCAGCCATTTCCTCGTGCAGGAAGGAGACAATCTCCTCCAAGTCCGCTTCTCAAGTCACTTATGAAACTACGACTTTAATCTTGTTATTATTACTTTATTCTCGTAACATTACGACTTTATTCTCGTAATATTCCGACTTTATTCTCGTAATGTTGCGACTTTATTCTCGTAACTATGACTTTATTCTCGTATTATTACGACTTTATTATTTTTCTAAGTGTGGCCCTAATACTCCGTCGTACAAAGTAACTGAAGTTTTCAAATAAAAGTATTTGCCTCAGACATTTAGTGGGGAATAAGTATGAAGTAGCACAAATGGCAACACTATAGTAAAGTAGAGGTACCTACTGTAAGTAGCTACTATACTTGTGCTTAGTTACCTTTCATCTTCGGGTGCTGAACAGGGTGCAGTTTTACAAATATTATTTTAATTTTTTTTTATTGTTTTCAATAATGTAAATGAGAAGCTCTCAACAGAACACTTTTTAAGATCTTGGACTTTTTTGTTTGTATGTTTTAAAAACTTAGGTAAGACAGAACAGTGCTGCTGCAGAAATATGTAACTTTAAATCTTACTTGTGATTTTGCCTGTCCACTCTATTCATTAAATTGTCCATCTACTCTACCTTCTATCAGTCTGCCCTTGAGATTAACTCACCTTCTGTCTTTGTATAATTTCCTAACAGAACTGTGACTTCTGTATTGTTCACTTCAGAAATTGTAAATCTTAAAAAACCTTTTGAAGGGTATAATCTTCTTATGTTCTTCATCACAAAAACTCTGTGAGGCTATACCCGGCGCTGAGTCATCCTGTCAGCCGACACTCTCCGACATTCATGCACACATACATTTCATGACGCATCATTAAGCTCCTTTCCGCAAGTCATGCTGCTTCTTAAGCTTTTACTGTTTACTTCCTGTTTGGACCTTTTTATTAACATCCTTCTCTTTTCTCTGCTCCAGGTGGAACCAAACACCAAACTTTTTCCCGCTGTGTTTGTGCGACCCACCAGCCCTAACCTCTTCCAGTTTGAGCTGTCTAAAATAAAGGTGGAGTCCCCTCAATTTTCATTTTCAACAACTTTAAGATATCTGCAATACCACATCAATGCACAATGAAGGAATCCTAAATCCTACAAATGCAGTATAGGTTCAGGAAATGCAATTTTTACCGGCCACAGTATGCTCCTGTTCCTTAAACCCTATGCTATCTCACTCTATGCAGCCCACACACATGATTATGCAGCTACACACCCTCTAGCTAGGTCCACTAGGCTAGTATATTAGCATGCACCAAATATACTAAGAGCATCTCCAACCGGATGTGTTCTTTTGTCAGTTGATTGGAGGAGAACAAATATTATGTGACTCCGCTTGTTTGACAAACAGGAATATCGCTTTAATCCCTCTGTGTTTGTTTGCCCCTCCTCAGAATGCCATGCCTTTGTCATCCGCCATCTTTAAGAGTGAACACAAGAACCCGGTGCCCCAATGTCCGCCCCGTTTAGATGTGCAGACCATCAGCTCTGTGCTGTGGAGCCGCATGCCCAACACCTTCCTCAAGGTGGAAACAGCCCGGGTCAATGAGAGGCACGGCTGGGTGGTCCAGTGTGTGGAGCCCCTGCAGATGTTGGCCGTTCATATTCCTGAAGAAAACAGGTACATGGATTTTGGGCTTTTGAGCAATCTACTCAGTGGGTTTTAGTTTGACTTCCACGGACATTGATCCTCATTCACTAACTGCGCTGAAAAATGTGTTCTTAAAACCCACACAATTCTGACATGCACCAATGTTTTGTTATTGAGATTTGAGAAAAATCTGAAGTGCTGAAAGTTAAGCAAAATAATAGTTTTTATTTTCTTTTTTAATTCTACAGTCATATAATATTATATGATTTTAATTACCGTAATATTTTTTATCATAAAATGTTTAAGCTTTATGGACATAAAATATAAACTGTGCACTTTCACTTGATTTCACATAAAAAAAAGTGATTTGGTAACCATTCCATGGCAACATCGCATTTGCTTTCTCATAAAACAAGTAATATAAAAACAGTACAACTTGAGATCAACATCCCAACAGGGAACCTTTGAGAAGCCTTTATTATTATTATCCTGTGCTGTGAAAAACACCTACAGTACAGTTTCTAGCCTCTAAACATACTTATTTTCTGTTTAAAAGGTGTGTCGACATCATGGAGCTGTCTGAGCAGGAGGACATGAGGAAGTTCCACTACCACACCCTGAAGCTCTACTGTGCCCTCTGCGCTCTGGGCAACACCCGTGTGGCCCACGCCCTCTGCAGCCACCTGGACCAATCACAGCTCTTATACACTATCGACAACCAGTACCTATCCGGCATGTTACGTGAAGGCTTCTACAACGTCCTGATCAGCATCCACCTGGAGACAGCGAAGGAGGCACGACTCATGATGAAGGATGAGTTCATCATCCCGGTCACGGCTGAGACGCGCTCCATCCGCCTCTTCTCCAATGCTTCCAAAAAGCACCTCCCGCCAGGGGTGGGGCTCAGCACCTCGCTTAAACCCCGCCTAAACTTTGCTCCGCCGTGTTTCATCAGCACCAAACGAGAACAACATCTCTACAGCCCCCAAATCCCCCTGGACGCTTTGAAGGAGAAATCCATTTCAATGTTGACGGAGGCCGTTCAGGGTGGCGGCCACCACATCAGAGACCCTGCCGGAGGAGGGGTGGAGTACCAGTTTGTGCCAATCCTGAAACTCATCAGCACCTTGCTGACGATGGGCGTGCTAGGTAGCGAGGACGTCCATAAGATCTTGCTGCTCATCGACCCCAATGTTTTCAGAGAGACACGCGAGGAGGGGGGCACGGGGGCCACAGACAAAGAAGGACTGAAAGGGGCGGAAGACAAGGCAGTGGAAGCTGGAGAAGAGGAGGCCGCCAAAGAGGCCAAACAGCCAATGAAAGGACTGCTGGAGAAGAGGCTGCCTGAGCCCGTCAAGCGACAGGTGATAAAAGCACAAATAAAATCATCTGAAATGTGTTAAACCTTCATGTAAACAGCTGGAGGTAAATCAGCAAAAGATGTCAAATCAATGAACATCTACAAGTGCAAATTCACTCAAATTCAAGACTAAAACAGATGCGCTTTCAATAACATGCTCCATAACCGCGCCACTGTAATAGACCTATTCACAACTCAGTCATATATGAAATGACTTGTTTGAAACAAATGATCTCTTAAATGTCTCTTTAAAGGTCCCATGTCATGCTTTTCCGGTTATTACCCGTCCCCTTGTGTGTTATGTAGCTTTTTCTGCATGTAAACGGTCTGCAGAGTCACAAACCCTCAAAGTACACCCTGTAGCGAGTAAAACTCTTAACACAGAAAAGACCTGTCTATGCTGTCCCGGAACGCCTCATTGGAGATTTCTTTTTCCATTTTTTTCTTCCTGAGCATGGTGACGTAACCATGCCCAGGTTCAAATGGACCAATCCGTGGAGCTCCTCACACACACACACACACACTCACTCAGCCTTATCTTGACTCAGCTGCGGCTCCGCAGATTTCTCAGCCTGAACTCAGCCTGAGACAGCGATACACTGCGCAACTCAGCCTGACACTGTGAGTTTGTGTCAGGCTGAGTTCAGGTGAGTTTTGCGGTGTCTCACTTTCTCGCAGACCCCACGCAGCAACCAGGAAACGACCCCAGTAATCCAGCTCACACTGTCTGCAGCAGCAAGCCCCGCAACGTCCCGCCAACACGGCACCCAGACCCCACGCAGCATTCTCATCTGTTTGTCATTACTGGGGTCATTTTCTGGTTGCTAACGCCATTGTAACACATAATCACTGACGTTCCGCTGTAACGGTGGTGGACTCATCAGAACAGAGTGGCCGAGCTGACCAATCAGAGCACAGTGGGCTCATAGGGAGGGGGGGGCGGCAGGAGCTCCAACAAGGCGTGTAGGACAGAGAGTGAATACACATACTATACAGAAATGCTGTATGAGAAACCAATGTGACTTTGGAACATTGAACAATGTAAATATATTCTAGTAGACCTCAACAATGGAATTATGATCAGTAGAAATGGCCATGTCATGGGACCTTTAATAAGTGGGAGGGTGTAACGCCAAATGGCTGTTTGTGTGTATTCCTAACAGACTTGTTTCTAACAGCTGTATCTAGGAGCGCAATTGTGATGAAACGTTATTTGTTGTCCGTCTCCTCCCCTTGTCTGCTCCCCAGATGTGTGAGCTGCTTCACTATTTCTGCGACTGCGAGCTGAAGCATCGCATCGAAGCCATCGTGTCTTTCTCCGACAGCTTTGTCTCCAAACTTCAGTACAACCAGAAGTTTCGCTACAACGAGCTGATGCTGGCCCTCAACATGTCCGCTGCTGTCACCGCCAAGAAGACCAAAGAGTTTAGATCGCCGCCTCAAGAGCAGGTGAGAGGACGCCATAATCACCACAGGCCTGCTGGGGAGGATGTGAACATAGTTAGAAACACTGATTTAGAAAAGATGTACACACTTACTCAGTTTCAAGTCACCATCTTATTGTCTGTGATATACCAAAAGTGGTTCATCAATTCCCAGTGTCTCAGCAAGTGAATACCTACCTCTGTTTTCACCACCTCAGGATATTAAAATGGCAAGCTTATTAATTTTAAGGAAATTAAAGACATACTCAATCTGTATTGTGTGTCCCGGTGTATCATTTATTGCATTTTATTATATTTACTTTTATTTTTACATTTTTTAAATGTTAGTGTGTTTTTGTTGTTCTTTATTAGGGTATGAGTACTGATGACATAACCATTCATCTATGCTAACAAATGACAAAGGGAAACCACATTCAAACTACTTACTGTACCTCACACTGTCGTAAAAATATTTGTACTCTCTTATGTAAAGCAAGATTACTTTCAAGATTTTCAACTGAAATATGTTTTATCTACTTGTTTACCATTAAGTAAGACTGCTATAGACGGGCACTCCACACGAGTGGGGATGTATTGTAAGACCTCTTTTCACATACTGTACTGTTGTTACATCTTAATGCTGTGTATTTCACTTAATTTCTGTAATTCTGATGACTCTCACGTGTCTGCCATGTGACCTTTTTGATGCATACAGTATGTGACCTTTGGGGGAAAATCAGCCACAGAAGGTTAACGTGAGATTTAGAGCTGATGAATCTTACAGCAAAGCTCACATGAATCTATCATAACTGACCGCAAAGAAAGCCTGCAGGCTCACTGCTTCAAATGATGCATGAAACTGGATAATTCAGGCGGAGCTGTTACATCATTTCTGTAATTTTCCACATACATGGCTAATTTATGTCCACCCTTAAGATTTCCTTTAGATTTAGTTTTGTAAAAATTGCCTCACTTTGGCCCCAAGAGTGAATGTGAGCTGCTCCTCGCTCCAAAATGTTGCAAGCACTCTCTTTTGTGTGCGCTGAACAAAAAGCCTCGAGGCAAAATCATCCTTCTTCTTTGTGGTGTCATTGCTGCAGTGAGTGTGAGCACACACACATTCAGCATCCCTTTGGGGTCACAGCTGGAGATGGACTTGAGCGCTTCACAGCTACTTTAATGACTGTCATAGTGACCTTTGGTCTGTCAGTGCTGAGGGAGAATTAGCCTCTTGAGCTGTTTTTTTATTCCTGCTGTGAATGAGATAACATAATGTTCAGATATATTTTAAAACCTAACCACCAGGCATTGTTTATGTATCTGAATGTCTGCTTTTTATGTCCATTCCTTAGATCAACATGCTGCTGACCTTCAGTATGGGCGAGGACTGTCCGTGTCCATCAGGCATCCAAGAGCAGTTGTATGATTTTCACAACCAGCTGCAGCTACACTGTGGTGAGATGCAGATCTTGATTATGTTCAATATGTTGCATGCATTAACCTGAAGCCGTTATCTTGTATCGCTTCAGTTTAATTTATTGCAGTTATTTTCCAAAGGCAGCGTGAACTAGCAGCGTGGATTGAAAGCTAAAATAGACAAAAATAGATTTGGAATTATTGAAAATGTAGTGATTTCTCTATTGATTGCTTGAGCTGCCATTCTGCTTTCTTTTTCCTCTGCATCTGTCTCCTGGCACAAGAGCTATAGTTCAATGCCTCTCACACGGCTCTGACATCTTGATGTTTTGATAAATAATTGAATTGCCTAACCTCAACAGTACAACCAATCTAATGTCTAGTGTCGATCATGCCATATAGTCCCATCCTGCCATGGCAACTAAAACACATTCAAAGAAAACTTGAAATTGATAAGAAAAAGGACATACCATACAATCACTACCATGCATCATACACATGACATATCTGTTAACCCCACAGGAAGAGCAGGGGTATTTGTTCCGCTTTACGCTCCATGTACTGTGTATAGCATTGTTGTCTGTGTTGTGCAGGAATCCCTATGGAGGAAGACGAATACGAGCAAGATACATCGATCACAGGTCGCCTCCTGATGCTGGTGAACAAGATCAAAGGCCAGTCTCACAAGGCAGAGGAGCCCACTGAGAAACAGCAAGCTGCACCATGTGAGGACATTTCTATTACTTTAAAAAAGTGCAATCATGTTCATGCTGCATCAGTGTACCCAGGTCTGAAGGAGGAGGATGAAGATGAATGTTTTTTATGTATGCAATGGCTCACAGTTTATTGCTGATTTCATTTCATATTAGAGAAAGTTTTCTTCCAATTGTAGCATTGTAACCATAGCAACATACTGAAACAGGGCTCAGTAAGCAGTTAAAGGCATACATTGGATTGTTTTTAGTGGGGCTGTATGAGGTACTAAAAATGCCGGTTTTTGTCAATGTAGTCTGGTAGCTTTAAAGAGAGCATAGATAGCGGCTTGTCCTCTGTCAGAAAGCGTATTCTTATCTAAACATAGCAAAAGTCTTATACCTATATTGATTTCTTTTGAGGTGGGCCTTTCTTTTAGGTTTCTAAAATACAGTTTCTCAAAGCAGTACAATGCTTAGTTTCCATGCCGTTACTCCTGTCTGCTTCTCTAAACTGGGACAGTGCCGACCACTGTATACATTCTAGGTTATACAATGATTATATATAAGTTCCTTATAAAACCCTGCTTCAAACAATACAAAACAAATTGAATTATTATGGTTATTTCCTAGTCCAAATAGCTAAAACTGGTCAAGAAAAAAGTGTTGCTTGTAGACTACTTGTGCAACATCTGTTACTTTTCTTTTACTTTCCTGTGAAAGCACCAGCTCTTACTCCCATAATCCATTTACACGACTCCACTACACTGTGCTTGTTTATGGTCACAAGCTCTCTGTCAATGTTCCTCACTTGAAGTGAGGCAAGAATTAAAAGCAGGACCTCTGAATTGCAGCTCGAGCACCCTCACTCTTTCTTCTATTTGTCTGCTGGTGTTATGTGGACTGAGTCACCGGGTGGCAGTCATTTCCATTTCAATTTCTTTTCAATTTCATTATGGTAATATGGAGCTGGGTGGAAGAGAGGCTTCAGAGTGAAGAGCATCTTCCGTCAGCCGCTCCCGGAGATGAAAGAGGAGCGATGAGAGGAAAAAACGATTAAAAACCAAATCCTTCAGCTGATTAAACCGATAGACACATACGAACAAATACACAATTGTGAGCACACACACAGGAACAAAAAACTTTTCAATCACTGCACTCAATATCCGGGCTGCCACAATAGTTTGAATGCAGAACCAGTTGTATCCAATTTTCTAGCTCAAGTACCACTGTGTGATAGGGACCACCAATCAAGTAGCTGATTGCAAATGATTACCTAACAGGTAGAAAAAGCATTTTATTTTGTATTGTTGGCCTTCAATGAGGAAGACAATGTGTTATTTGAGCATCACTGTTTGAGTTTATTTTATTACCATCTGTCTCTATTTATGCCAGTAATTCCTCTCTAAAATATGACCTTTCTTGAAAATGACCCTGTTCTGGCAATAAACTAGATATGTCTGCATTTAATTGCCCATATAGGGAGTTACACAACGGGTATTTTGTTATTTTTAAGAATCTGGACAACCCCATACAAAGTCTATTCTTGGAAATGATCCCAACAACAAGAAGTTTTAATTGAGATGAAACAGCTACCTGATGCAGAAAGGCAATCTCCCAACAGAGATTTGGTTTGACCCTGATGTAGCGCACATAAGACCACCACACTGATCTCCCAGGAGCAAGCTGGATGAAAATAGAGGAGTGTGTATTTTTCTTTTAAAGAGTGCTTTGGGTGGTGGTGGTCTCTGCAGGCTGTTCTGTGCCGGCTGATTGATAAGAAGGCTGGTGTGTGGTGACGGCTGCAACAGCTGGAGGCGTCAGAAAACAAAGAGAGGGAGTGGAATAATTTAGAGCAGACCGATTGTCTTACTGCTTAAAGTGTTGTTTTTCTTTGTTTGATGTTGTTAATTTATATCATGTATAGTAAGTGTTAAAGCTTGATTTAAAGGCCTTACCTTTTTTCCCTTTTCCGTTCAGTTGCATTGTAGATTAACAGGTACTGTTTGGCTTTTTGATTCATATTCGACATGCTTCCAAAAAGACTCTCTGCAAACGGGAGCAAATCTATGTGGCCAGGTTGCTACCCAGCTTAATATCCTCTTAATATAACATTAAAGGTGGGGTAGGTAAGTTTGAGAAACCGGCTCGAGATACACATTTTGTTACATTCCATGGAATGCTCTTAACATCCAGATAGCAATTATGAATATCTTAAAAATCCATAAAAAAATTTCATCTGTGGAAGCCGTATTACTGTAAAAAGCACGACCAATCATTTTAGCCGGCCCGGCTAAAGTAACTGGATGGCCTACCTGCCTGTCAGCCTTCCATCTGTGCACAAACTTATCTCGTGCCCTCATTGGTCATGTGTGTGTTGGAGGAGGGGCTCTGTAAGGAAGTGGCAGATTTTTTCCGTTGTGTATTTTCAAATTCTAGCGCATTCAAGCTGGTTTCTCCAAAATTACCTACCTCACCTTTAATGAGACCTATCAAGGGTTTTTTTTTCTCACAGCAATGTATATTTTTTCCTGGTTCAATATGTTGAAGTCTCCCACTGCATTTTACAGTATAGTGATGATTTAGCCTACTCCTTTAAACCAATGCCCTCTTGCAGCGAGGATTGCATTCAAACGGCATTTGCAGTTTCTGTCTCCTTTCACTCATTTGCAATTTATTGAGCAAAGATAGCCCTTGCCAGTGTTGTACAATGTTAGTATCAACAATATTCATTGCTTGGGACATTTGGTTAAACTGCTCTGTGAGGCTGTTCTGAGCTAAATGCTAACATTAGCATGCTCAGGTTGACAATGCCAACATGATTAGCAATGTTAACCATTTTCACCATCTTAGTTTAACATGTGCCACATTTTAAGCTAGCAAGCACCAAAGACAGTACAGCTGAGGATGATGGGGATAGTTTTATTAAATGAATGGTTTGTTTGGTATACATGTGGTTTATACATTTTCTTGAAACTGGATGCGTTTTTCTTTGTTGGTAGGAATGTAAGTAGCCCATGATGGGCTCATATTGAAAATTAAATCTCATGTAAGAAAATGGTTAGCCAGGAGGCAGTAGAATGGCCAGATTAGGAATGACATGATATATTCTGTGCTGATACTACAGCTATAACTCCTCCTCTTGCACAGTGAGACCCTGGAGATACAAAAGGCGCCGTCGTATTGGCCATTATTTCATAGAGATGAAGTAAGAGGGGTGCAGAAGTAATTTTCCTCCTCTGATGAATGGTTTATCCACCAGAAGCATTTAATGCTCAGACATGATGGCTTGCCTTGAAGAAATGTGTGTTGTGGGAGCATAGGGATCTGTGTGAACTCTTATGCCATAAAATAAATGCTGGCTTCCATCAATGTAACACAAGTCTGATTTGTTAGTTGAGGTGTAGTGAGGGCAAAGTGCTCGGGGGGAATAAAACAGGCCGAGACGGAACGAGCGAGCATGTTTGATGGTGTGACAGAACCGGAGGTGGGTGTGGTGAAGTGGCTGGGGGGAAGAAATGTGGCTTCTCATTTTGGACCAAGCTGGCACCTGCTGTGACACCCATCGCCGACGGGATTGGTTTTGCACACACACACACACACACACACACACACACACACACACACACACACACACACACACACACACACACACACACACACACACACACACACACACACACACACACACACACACACACACACACACACACACAGTGATTGACAGTCTTGTGTCAAATAGTCCGACAGATCCAATCAGCTTCACAGACACAGGGGTCTTAAAAACACAATTACCTAATTGCAATACTTTTAAGGAAATCAATTGCACATAAATGGCTCCATCTTTATGGTTCTTTGTGCTAAACTGATGATTTTTGTCCTTTAAGAAAAGACTCACAAATATATGTGCGCACCCTCACCCACACACCCTATTGATCCAGATTTAATGAAGCCTTAAGGGTAACCTACATACGAGCTGTCCAAACAGACGTCTCAGTTTGACCACAGAGGCAGAATATCATACTACACAGAACTATTAATACCACTTCCCTCCCTATTTGTTGCATAACAGGGCCGCCTTCCTCTCCGCTTCGCTGGAAATGGGCCTTTTCATGAATGAGCTCGCAAACACAGCTGATTACCTCTCCCTCAGAAGCGGGGGGGCTCGTAGAGGTAGCTGATACACGCGTGCAGTCCTATTAGCTCGACTCAAGCCACTTGAAAGGCTTTGAAGGAGCTGTCTGTCTATTTTTTTTCTGTGCTCAAGGTCTTATTTGCATCACAGAGCCAATTTGGGAAGTCAGCCTTTGAGTTGAGTTTTAGCACTCAAAAATGGCTTGTGTAGAAAAGGTAGCACCCAGTCAAGTGGAGGCCCTTTCAACATTTGTGTAAAAGAGCTTTGTGTTGAGTGTGTGTGTGTGTTTGTTTAAACGGCGGTGTGTTTTAGGCAGAGGTGCCGTGGTGTCACCTCGGTTAATGAAAGGAAGGTTATAGGATATTTTCCTCTTAAATCCAATGATACGCAGTAAAAATTACAAGACAATACAGCATGCTATGCTACGTTACTATGCTATTTTAAAGGCTATCTAATTTTACTGTTTAAAAAGAGCCTGTATTGTGTTAATCTATATTCCCCTTTTTAAATCGCAAAATGTAAGATGTTTTAATCCCTATATCCGTTCAAACAATTGATCAGATGACTGTGTGTAATGAGAGAGCGCTAATCTGTTTTGATGAACCCACAGAGAATTATTATCAAGCTCCGCAGTTAACTCAGCTCTTCAACACAATTTAGAATCTTTCAGCTTATTATGTTAGTGTTAGGGATTTACCTTATATCAGTCACAATGACATTCCCTGCCATTTATCGGAAATGTAAATTATGTATTTTTGTGATACTGAAAAACCAGCTTCTAATCACTACAACTATTAGCTAAACCAAGTTGCTTTTATTGACATTCCAAGCGCAGCATCTCTGTGCTGAATGTTTTAAAGATCCCATGTCATGGCCATTTCTACTGATCATAATTCCA